ACTAATAGCAAATTATGAACACAATAAGGTAAAAGAAAAGCACATATAGGTAGGCAAAAGAGAAGCAAAACCGAGAGCAATATGTAGACACAAAGTTCAAAATAAAACTAGGTTAAACATGCTATTCAAGGAATTTGCAACATATAAAGACTAAACACAAAATTCTAAGACAAAACATAGATTCAAAACCAAAATCTAAATGCAATGCATGAGGTCCAATCACGGACACATACAAGGAATGGAGAGACTCAAAATAAACTCAAAATTAGCACAAAGCAAATAGTTCCTACAAGTTGATTATGGAAGAAAATTCAAGACAATCAACAATGGATCTATGAACTCAATAGCATCAAAATATAGATCCGAATTGAAACTCAATTAAGACAAACATAAGAACACAAAGAACACAAAATATTCGGACCAAAAACAGATGAAGAACTTATCTCCTTGAAGACCTTGCTCTTGATACCAAAAATGATGGAAAACACTAGGAAAAGTGAAAGATGAACTTCTCCTAAAATTCTCTCTAACTCGGATCTTCTTCAAAGGAGACTTGGAACTGCACTTCAAGCACTTGAGAAGGATGAATCACGGATTGGAATAGGCCTAAGCCTTGGATGGAAGTATCCAAGCTCAAGCATCAATGGAGTGCTCACTTCAAAGAGAAGGAAGAAAGGTGAAATCCTAAGGTTTGAAGGAGAACTCTCAAGGTGACTTTGAAAGGGGAAACTCGGCCAAAGGCTCTCAAATTTCATTCAATATTCAAAGTGAGTACAATAGATGAGAGGAGGGAAACATATAGCATCCGAATTTGAGGAGAACACTTGGCGCCACATGATTGGTCACATGTTGGCGCCAAGATTTGAATTCAAATTCAAATTTGAATTCAAACCTTGTGTCACATGCTCATGACCGGTCATGTAGTGCTAAATGATAGATTAGGTTGAATTTAGAGTGAATTTAGGGTTGCATTTCGGTGTCACACTTGTGCAACCAAGGTGGTGCCAAAAGTGTGACCTAAATGCAACTTAAATTCATCCTAAATTTGACCTAATTTGTCCTAATTCAAATGAACTATTAAACCTCCTTAAACCCTAAACTAATGACCAAAATACAATGGTCTAATGAATACAATCAATAGGAAATATTACAAGGAAAATAATGAGCCCAATATTGGGTACCAAAAGCCCAAAGGCCCATGAAGCCCAAAACTAGGCCCAACTAGCCTATAACCTAAAATGCTACTCTATATGGTCCAAAATACAAGACCAAAATATATGATACCTATACTAACATGATGTATACAAAACATATGAAAATAGCTATAACAAAATATGGCCCATGAAAAGTTCAACTTGGGCCTTCCTAGACCCAATGGGCCCGATGGGCCCTGACAGGCTCAAACCTTCATGTCTAGCCAACTCCTCTTGATTCTTTGAGTATGTCACCTCTTCGG